AACTGGAAACACAGGGAATCCAGGACAGATGATCCCTTCAGGACCAGTGGTGAGAGTGGTGATACCGGGAGGGTGGAAGGTGGGTGGGGTGGAAAGGGGGAACTGATTACCGGGATTTACATACGGCCTCCTTCTTGGGGGACAGACAACCAGAAAGTGGGTGAAGGGAGACATTGAACAGTGTAAGATATGGCAAAATAATAATTTATAAATTGTTAAGGGTTCATGAGGGATGGGGGAGCAGGGAGGGAGGGGATAAAAATAAAGAGCTGATGCCAGGGGCTTAAGTGGAGAGCAGATGTTTTGAGAATGATGAGGGCAATGAATGTACAAATGTGCTTTACACAATTGATGTTATGTTTGGATTGTGATAAGAGTTGTATGAGCCCCCAATAAAATGATAAAAAATAAAATTTTTTAAAAAGGTGGTGTAGTAACATTGTGCTAAGTGATTCTGGCCTAAGCATGGGGGTGGGTATATTTTACTGTTGATTTCAACTGTGCCTTCTCCTTTAAAACAGATTTTTGTGAGTTTATTTTGAAGAATACTTGATTCAGGAGGTTTCCAATAGAAATAAAATCATTAACTTTTTAAATATGCAAAGCTAAATATGTTTTACCTGTCCTTGTTCGCACAAACATATCCATAGCATAGATTCCATCTGCTAAGTAGTCAAAAATGAACCAATATAATAGGTAATCGGACTGAAGTTCATCGAAACAAGCTCTGTAAAAGAAAAACCTGTATATGTAAAATGTCTGTAATTATTATCATGATGATGAATGTAGCGTGCTAGGACTGGGAGGCTCTCTTCAACCAAAACCGAAACAGGAGCCCTGGTGGTGCTGTGGGTTCAGGCATTGGGTTGCTAACCACAAGGTCGGCCATTCAAACCCACCAATGGCTCCACAGCTGAAAGACAAGGCTGTCCGCTCCCGTAAAGATTTGCAAGCATCCCATACTTCATTTAATGAACCCTGGCCTTCCTGGCACTTTCCCAAGGTGGATGACTTCGTTTTCTTGCACGTCTAAATTCCAAAATTCTTTCCATCTTACAAGTTTATATTGTGAAACCATAAATAAGAAAACTCTCAAGCTATAGTCTGAATGTTTTCTCCGAAACATTGTTCACCAGGTTCCTATAGACTGTAGCCAAGATGTTTCAGGAAATAGCGCTGGGTCCTAGCTGGCTGAGATATGTACTCTGGACAAGACAGAGGCTCGTGGAGTGAATTTGGGAGCCATGTCTTGCTTTCCGACACCCTAGAACCTTCACTATTTTTTTTTTCCATTACGGGCAGCATTTTTCTTGAACGCGTAAAGGGGGGAAAATTCTCCCAAAGTTCTAATGAAAATGATCAAGTAACCCAAAGTTAATCCCAGTAATGGAGTTAAAAGTATATTAGGAACTGGAACACATACTCCTGATTGCAGGAAAAGCACACTGAGGATCATAGAACCTCTCCATTACTAATGGTGGGGGAAAAGGAAGGTATGCCAAAGAGTGCTAAATCAACTTGCTTTGTCAGTGAACCAGGAAACTGGAAGTGGGGTCAAAATTCACAAAACCCGAAACCTTACACAATAGCAGAAACAAAGCAAATAAAATTTAAAGAAATACTTTAAAACCTTGCAATAATCATCGTCCAGTTGTACATAACAGGCATCGCGATACAAAACAACCAGTTGTAGTATATGTTTCCTGCGGGATCGATGACCATGACTTCTTTCTTCTCCCTAGCAGCAAGTCGAAATAAAAGAGATTACCAAGGAATGGGAACACTTGTTTCACATAATAGAGTTGTACTGACAACTGAAAACCAATAAAACAGAGGTAAGTTGGAGATGTTCGGTCCACAGTGAGAAGATTAAAGCTTAGTATAAACACACTACCCATAATAAACTGATGTGTAAATGAAAGCCCAAAACTAAACGTAATGCCATTGCGTCAGGTCTGACTCACAGCACCCCTGAGAACAGAGTAGAACTGCCCGTGTGGGTTTCCAAGTCTGTAAAACCCTGTGGGATCAGAAAGCCCATCTTTCTTGCTCAAAGCAGCATTGCTAATTCCACTTGGCTTTGTTGTTGTGAGTAGGGGCTATCAGGTTGGCTCTGATTCACAATGACTCTACTCCAGGGGCCTGCCGAGTCCTGAAGCGTTCTCATAACCGTTACTGGATTTTACTGTGTTGCAAAACCTGTTGTTGCAGCAGCTGCAGCAATTCATCTTTTTGAGGATCTTCCTATTTTTCATCAACTCTCTTCTTTACCAGACTCTGCTTTCTCCAGGGACTGGTCCATCCTGATAACATGGCCAAAGAACATCTCACCACTATTTCCCTTAAGTGGCATTTTGTCTGTACTTCTGCCAAAGTAGACTTTGTCATTTTTTTTTCTGGCAGTCTATGATATATCCAATATAATTTGCCAGCACTATAATTCAGTGATGTAGATTTTTCTTCAGCTTCTGCATGCATATGAGGCCATTGAAAATACAACAGGCTTGGTGGGGAGGTGGGTGTGGGAGACCTGGTAGGGCAGGATCAAGGGGAACGTAACAAAGAGAAAGTGCTGAAATCCTGGTGGGGACTGAGCATGATA